CTTTGAATAATGTTGATTAACTAATTTTCTTTGTTCTTCTGCTAATTTGGTATTTTTATTATAATAATTTCTTTCTAATTTGGCCTTGGATAAATGTTCTTTAAACCTTTTAAGTAAATCTTTAGCTTCTTCCACATGGCGAGCATTGTAATGTAAACCATCTCTATAATGTTAACAACATCCGGAAAATATAAAAAAATTTTACACGTTTCAATTGTAAGTTTAATAATAAAAAAGTGTAAAACTTATGTCGGCACTGTAAGATTTACACAATATTACGTCAGCATTGTAAGATTTATGCAAGTTTACGCTAAATTAATTTCCTGATGAAGTATCACACAAGTCAGTCCTGGGACTCATAATTTGAATCTCTGGTGTCAATTAGTGTCATAATTTTCTGAAGGCATCATACTTCAATGATTTCAAATTACTATCTTCTTCTAGACCAGCTAGAAAATCTCTATGAACTGATTTATAACTCATTTCAGCTGGTAAGAATACAATTGATTGATTGATACTTCTTCCTGGACTTGGTAATCCATGGACTTCTGCATAATTTTCTAGAAAATTCTTTACTACTTCAGCAACACTTTTGTCAATCACCATTTTAGCTTTCCATTGAGGCATTCTTTTTATGTTACCATGAATTCTTGGTAAAAGATTATTGTTTATTAGATGATTTCTAATATTTTCTAAGTAAGTTCTACCAATCCCTAGCATATTGAGATAAGTTTCTTGACAAAGAAGTGTATTGTGATCTCAGTGATAGAAAGTTCTTTTATTAGATCTAGTTTTCTTTTTAAGGCGTCTACTAGTACTTGTTGATCCACCATCCATTGCTTTAAGTTGAGCCATTAAAAATATGTCTTGTTCAGACTTAGAAAGAGCTTGAAAGGATTCCCTTAATTCTGCAAATTGTTCCTTGGGAATTCTTGAAGAACAACCACAATTACACCTTTTTTCTAAAAAATCAATAGCTTTTTGATATTCATTAGAACCATTATTATTATTTTTCATATACACTTATCCCTATACATATAATTTTATGTTCACTTTGTAGGTTTTTGAAAATTGAGATGAGAGAGAGAAAGATAGAAATTATTCAAAGAACAAAATATTTAAGGTAAACAATTAATAAATATTTTTAATACTTTATTTTCATCAATAACAATTTATAAAATAAATATTTAAATAATTATTTATTTTCCTATATTTTATTTGAATCAAAAAGAGAGAGAAAAAAAAACTTTTTTAACTTTTCCCTTGAAGATGAATGATGCATTTTACATATGCTACACTAAATCACAATGATTATTCAATACATTTGATGCTATCATTGACATAACAAACAATTGCATCACCCAGTAATAAATAATACCAAGACCATGCAGAAATAATTTTTTTAAGGAACTTGATTTCAAAACAATAATGTGTCTATCTATCCAGATCTCTGAGATTTACAAAGACAAATAAATCTATTCCTCCCTTGAGCCATAGATTTGACTGGATGATTATTTTTCCTTGTGAATAGAATAATAAATCTGATGACATTGATTACAGGTGTCAGATTTAATAAATTTTCCTGGCACAAACATGCAAGCGCCCATGTAATTAAACATCAGTCTGCACTGTAGAATCTTTTTCCACAGAAGAAAGGACTTGGACATGTTAGAAGACTTTTCAAGATTGACAAAACTTCCTTATCTTTCCCTCAATCCAAATTTAGCTGGTACCAATATGAGTATTGATTGCTGATGAGAGTTGACACTAGTGTGACCTTAGTATAAAGATGGTGTCTGCAACTTAGGAAGTGCAACCTGGTTGCTATTTTGTTGGGAACACAACATCTACTGGATACATTTCCTAGATGAAATAAATAATTGTATATTTCAATTACCTCATTAAAAAATAATAAAATCAGTCAATCCAATAAAAAATCCACCAACCAGTTTTGAAGAGCAACACTAGGCATAACTGTTCGTAAACAAGAGTTTCAATTTAGGCAGGGAACTGGTTAGATAAAAGTCCATGTCCCTATTCAAATTATATATAAATTTGGTTAATATCAAAGAAAAAAAATAATTCAGAAAATAATTAATTTATATAGAACAGACACTATTTTATGACTTTCCTTATGATGCCAGAACATGGAAGAAAATTCAGCAGCCAGCTCCTTGAAAAAGAAAAACAAAAATGCACGGCCAGCCATCTTTACTCTAGAGGTAGGGTCATTTCTGACAACTTTTCCTGGCCAGACTCTGTGAGGAAAGATTAGGTATGTCATTGGCAATGATTCAACCTTGAAAAACTCCAGGGCAGAGCGATCCCCCCCTGGAGTTTAATTGCATCATCATATCATCGGAGGAGGCAAGTCAGATTAGCCTTGTAAACATGAGGAACATGTGAGAATGACTGTAAAAGTGTTCAAGGTAGCATGTGTGCCTTAACGCTTTTCAATTTCTGAATAGTCAAACGCTACATATAGAAATGTTTCATATTAAAAAAAAAAATTTTTAACAGTCAGTCATGTTGCCGCCTTGACATATTGTTATTTAATAATATAATAATTATATGAAAAGCAAAACGATATCAATCGTTTATTATCAGCAAGAATTCTAATAATTACCAAGAGACAAGTTTGCTCCACGTTTTGATTTCAAGATACTTCATAAAATGAAGAAGCATATTTTCCATAATAGATCGAATACAGACTTTTCATCCACACTTAAAGATCCATTTTTTTTTATACACATGAAAAAAAAAAGAAGGAAAAATGATATGTCTTGTTATCATTTTAACAGAACAAGCCCATGTCTTGTAACATTCACGTTTCGTCAGCTCGAGCCTTCTATATATAAAAATAAATTATTTTTCTAAATAAAATTAATTCGCGTCCAAAAAAAAAAAAAAACAATAGTAATAGGGTTCTTTGTGCGACTTATACATGCGGAAAAAAATGACAAACACGTGATCCAAGCCAGTCAAAAATCGCGTATAACATTTAGATTTCAATATGCTTGTGTGAAAATGATCATGTGCTATTACAACACCCCACATACCCACCCATAAAATAGAATTAACATTGCACAATCCCTTGTTCAAGATGTTCAATAGTCATAAACGTGGTCATAAATATTTCGAAATAGTTGTGAATGATAATCGTGTATTTCTAAACAATTACTTTATTGTAATAAAAATAATAACTGCTATAAAATAACCATAATTGTGCAATTTTTTGGTGGATGATCTACGAGTGGATATTTTTTGGTGGAAGAATGCTAGCTTTGGTCTCTAAATAAAAATTCTCAACATAAAACTTTAGATATATTGCAAACAAACTTATGAAAAAAGTCAAAATTTCTAACAATGATCGACATCATGTGTTGTCACGTATCCATATATTAATATGCGGTACAAGATTAATCAAATAACAAAATTATTTTTTATAAATTGATTTCCTCCTCTCTCCATAATTTCTACAAGTATGCCAAGTATGCTGCCAAAAAGGACGGAAAGAATAAGAATCCAACAAAAAGATAAGCAACAACACGGGTAAGTGTTATTGTCTTTGTTTAAGGTGTTAGTCGCGATCATTGCAACTCATCCTAGTTTCTTTTTTAAAATGTCTTTACCAGTGCAAATACTAAGAAATATGACTCCACGACTAACTCTGTAAGTCCCATTCATTTGTCATAAGCTTTTTTTAAAAAATAAAAATGAGTTTTTAACTTTTTATAATGAAATAAAGCCATTATCGTCATCTTCTATTGAGCATAAGTAAACTATATTATCTTTATCAAATAAGTATATTAATAAAATAAAAAAATATTGAATTATTTTTAGAATAATCACAAAGAGGCTATCGAAACAATTGCGAGAAATGCAGTAACTGAATTAGGTGCAAGCTATAACATGTCACTAGAAAAAACAAACGAAATTATAGAGATGGAAGAAGAAGCAGTAGGACCGTTAAAGCTTTCTTTAAAAAATTCTTTGGGGGAAATATCTAATATTTTTGGCCAATACAATGATGATCAACTAGAAGAAATATCAATTCCGGAAGATGAATCTTTCAATGAAGACATTGTAGCCGCTAGTAGCTCTTATAATGATATAGACAACATTGACACTAATACAACCACATTTGATAACACAGAGAACAACATTGACACTAATACGACCACATTTGATAATACAGAGAACAACATTGACACTAATACAACCACATTTGATAACACAGAGAACAACATTGGTGAGCGGTGAACGTTACAATGACAAGTTATTTTGGCTTAAATTTATAAAACATTTGCTGATTATATAACACTTTTCTTCATCCTATTTTTTTTAAAAAATTTTTAAATTCCTTCATCATTGTTAATAATAATGTGATAAAAGGTGAAAGGAGAAGAACTAAACGTCGCTATAGGGAAGCTATTAAAGGAATAACTAAGCCAGCCATCAGGAGACTTGCACGTAGGGGGGAGTGAAACGTATTTCAGAACTAATTTATGAAGACTCTCGTAATATATTGAAAAAATTCCTCAAAACTGTGATTAAAGTATGTAATGTAGCAACAATGATAATAACACAAATATAATTATAGTTTGGACATTAATCATAATAATTTAAATTTTTTCATATCAATTATTTTTATTTCTTTTAGGACGTGGTTGTGTATACAGAACACGCAAATCGAAGCACAGTCACGCTATTAGATGTTGGTAAGTTAGTTTACAATGTATTCATTTTATATTTACATTAATATATAAATGTTACCTTTTGATCATATTAATTAATTCATTTATTTAATTTCTTTATTACAGTCTATTCACTAAAAAAACAAGGAAGGACTGTGTATGGATGGAATTAGTGAAAATTAATATAAATTATATCAAATATCCTTATGATAATCATCAATTGCTTATTTTTATAATTGCAAAATAAATATCAATATTCGTGGATCAAAGGCTTGTGTTTCACTAACTTATATTAAGTTTATAAAAATATTTGTGCTTCACACTTATCATTAGATCCTTGAGGTCTTATATTTACTAAAAATACTAATCATAACTCCTTATGACTTTCTGATAATACTATAATAATTACTTTTATTGTACTATGTATAATTCTCGATCTCTATTATAAATTGGTTTTACCTTTATATAGGAACAGTTCTACATGCAAAAATGAAGATAACAAATGGGACGACACATTAATGATGATGACTAAATTTTGATCCCTGAAAATCTTGGTAATACCAATGTTCACTTTGTCTGGTTTTGTTGCAGCATGCCCCACATAATTTCTAAACTATATAAAAAAATATATATTGAATCTCAGAATAATATTTAAAATCAGAAAATAAATAAAAAAATAAAATAATTTACCTCATAAAGAAATTCATTAGAAATATTTTGTGAATTATGTAGTTTTTTTAATGACACAGGTATATCCTCGCTAGTTCTTTCATTATTATAATTTATACTTTTATAACCATTTAACCAAGTAGCTTTAGATATAGTTGCAAACTCACCTTCACTTATCTTTTCAATATTTGTTAAATTATTATAAGGAATCCATTTGAGATGATTACTATAATGATAATATGTTGCTTTAAGTTGTGTACTTTTAATCAACTCATCTAATGTTTCATTGCCACTAGTCCATCCTTCAGTTAATAGCTTTGGATCACATGATTGACACCATGAATAATTAGTATTATATCTATTGCAGGTTGGACATTCCCCATATTCATCATCTCTTTCATCAAAATATTCATCATTTTTGTCAGTAGAAGTGTCATCATGATGCTTATTTTTATTTAAAGTGTTCCCCATCATGATTTTTGTATAATTTGTCAAAAAAAAATTTTTTTTTCCCAGCCACAAATATGTATCACAAAAATATATATAAAAAAAAAATTAAATTTTACCTGAGCTAAAACAATTTAGCATTGACACCCTAAAGTTGTAAAACTGTAATAAATATTGCAAGCATGCAATCTGAATTATTGGAGTCACCAAATCTGGAAAACTAAATTAAAATCACTAGATACAACTCAATGCTTGATTAGAGTTTCTATTTGAATAAACCCTTATTCAAATTATTTGTTTTACTTGCTATGATTTGAGTATTTGAATTACATTGAAAGTTTATTCAAATAAAATGAATAATGAATAATTCGATAATTTGATAATTCAAAAAAGACAAATAAACAAATAATAATTCGAATAATTTGAATAGTTTGAATAAAATGAATAAACAAATATTTTTAATAAATGATGACAACAATTCGAATAATAAAATGAATAAACGAAATAAAATGAATAATTCAAGCAAAACAAGTATTTGAATAAACAAATGATGATAACAATTCAAATAATAAATGAATGATGATAATTTGAATAAACGAATGATAATAATTCAAATAATAAATGAATGATACAATTCAAATAATAAACAATTCAAACAAAATGAATGGTTTGAATAATTTTGAACAAAATTTTATTATGAATAGAAACTCGACTCTAGTGCAGAGTCACTAAATCTGGCACAATAATGTTCAAACTAAACAAACTAAAATATACAACTACACTACTTGAGGCATCCCTCCCTATATACAAACAATATAGTAAAAAGGGTCCCTAACTAATAATTAAATGTTGGCCAAACCATTAATCACCAGAAAGGGTTATGAATCAATCAATCATGCCAGATTTATCAATTAATGAAAAGGGTTATTTTTATTGGTTAATTTTTTTTTTTCACTAAAGGAGATTTCAAACATATTTATAATTCTTGAAGTATTACAAATAACATGATTTTTGTCCAATAAAATAAAATAAAAATAGAATGATAAATGATGACTAATTGACAATTACTAAAGTTAAATGTCAAAAATGTGTCATTGATGATGTCATGAATAAATGATACCTGATGAAATGTTTTTGTCATAATTAATTAAAAATAAAATTTATATTCATTGAAATTTCAGATGGTAGTCAGCTTTGATTTATAAATGTTAACTCAAGTGTTGATGATAATTTGACTTCCTTGAAAATATTATTAAACAGAAAAATATGACAATGTGACTCTGGACACATTTGTATTGCACCAATTCATTAATGACATAGAAGATTTTGATGGACCTTTCTTTGAAATCAACACAGCTTTAACAGGACAAGTTTCTGGATTATTTTTTCAGGAAAATCAATTAATTAGCTGAATAAATCCTGAACTAGAAATAAATATGCTATTGATCCAGAATTAAAAGATCACAACAATCATGATTGCTATATTTGTAGTCCTACTCTAAGCCTAGAAACATCATCATCAAATCCATCATCTTTAAATAGTGTTAATTCTCAAAATAAATAATTTATGAGGAGGAAGTAGAAAAAGGAGCATTGCTTGAAAGTATTTCTTTAAATGAAACCTCATCAGAAGCTCAAGATGCTCAAAATCTTAATGATAGATCTAACTCATTACAGCAAGGATTACTTGCCCTCACCACTCCTCTCACCACTTTCAATGTCAATTTTCTTGTTTAACAAGTGCATCAGTTTCACAGATCTTAGTTGGTACTCAGAGGGTGCAGAAGAGAAGTAGTGGAATATCTGGGGTTACTAGGTATTGGAACAAAAGTATCATCAATTCAATTGCACTTAGCCTCCTCATTATGATATGTTTTCAATATTTGTCAGATTTGTGATTATTTCACAAATCCTGTGGACATCACATGTTGAAAATTTATACGGTCATTCCATATCAGCTGAGGGAACATGGTTCTCCATTTGATGGTTACAATGACCAAATTATACAATGTTTTTTCCATGATGGAATGTCTGCTGGTTTGCATTAAAAGATATGTTTTTTTCATGTAGGTAAGGCTGTGCATGTGGATCATCCCATGGTTTTGAAATTTGTCATGTTTGAAGAAATGCCCTAATTCAACATCCCAGGGTCCTTCCACAACTTGTTCTGGCATATTGTGATAGTGCAGGTAAATGTGCAATGGGTGATTGCTTGGCATGGTGTTGCCATTTTATGCAAGTGGGTCCTTTTGTCTTTGGCCATCATCAAAGTGTAGAAAATCTGAGGAAGCCTCTACACACTTATTTCTTTTTAAAAAGGGGGAGAAATGTAATGGCAAGGTTGTGATTTTTGACAGATGTTTCTCACAGTTACATTTTTGGTGGCCAGTATCTGGTTCTAATTTTGAAATTTTCTTCTTTTCTCAAAACATCAATGTGGCTAGTACCAATACAAGCATGACCTAGCTATTTATTGAAGGTGTTATTTTTTAATGCACTCATAGTGCCCTTTCCATTGGGGAAAACATCAAGGCTTCCAAATCAGTATACCACATAGTTTGTATCTTTGTTATGTATTTTTGGAGGAAAGAATCATTAGGACAACCAAATCTGGAGGATGGGGAATCTCTTCTGGAAGTTGACTGATAATGGTTCAACAAGTAAGTTAAATATGGGCTTTTTATTTAATAATATAGGTAGGTATATTTAAATTATAAATTTTAAAATTTTTAAATAATATATTGACAAGTACATCACTTCAACTTGTTAATGCCATAAAACATTGATTTGAAAATAAATTAAAAGTTAATGTGCATATTATGACATCCAAATTTCAAATTCACGCGCGTGAAATTCAAATTAGCCAATCAGAATTTTGTATTCAAACACTCACCCAAAATTTAATTAACATTAATATTAGTAAATTTCAAATTGACACAAATTTGATTTTCACACACAACATAATATCATTTTCAAAGATATTTAATATCACAACTATAGTAACCTGATAAATAAAAATAAATAATAAATAATTTAATATTTAATAAAGTGACAAGATTTAACTTATTCAGGTAAAGTCATCTAGTATAGTTAAATCAATTTGTTTAGAATCTATAAAATATTTATCACAAAAGTTAATTTTAAAATTAATAAATATGAAATAATCAATGATTGAATATTAATAATTACCATTATTACCAATAATTGTTACTTTATTGGAATTTACAGGTTGGGGAAGGTTTGTAAAATTTAATAATCTGCTAGTATAAACTGCATTTGGATGAATTACTGCAGTAATTGTTGAAGGATCAAATTTTATTTCATCCATTTTCTTAAACTCTTTTCTAATTGATTCATCTTCATTACCCAGTAGTGAATTATTCCAAATGTTAATAATCTCATAAATTTTTCCAGCAGTTAGGCGTTTATCTGGATTAGCATCCATGCATCTGAATGCTAGTTCAATATAGAATTTTGGAGTATTGTTTGAGAATCCAGGTCTTACACCTCTACATATTTCCATTGCAAGATATTCATCATGTGCCAAATTAATAAATGGTTGTTGGCCAGTTGATATTACAGACATCAGAACTCCAAAACTATATACATCTGATGCCATTGTATATGGTTTCTTATTTAAAACTTCTGGTGCAATATATGGTAGTACTCCACATATGTCATTTTTTTTTGATGATGATGTTTGACTAGATGTGCATGATAATCCTAAATCTGCGATATATGATTCCAATTTGTTTTTTTGAAGGATATTACCACTATGAAGGTCATGATGAATGATTTTTTTTTCATGAATATTTTTTAAACCTTTAATAATTTTATAAAGAATATTAATTTTGTTTTCCCATTTTAAATTTTTAAAATCTTTTTTTAAATAATTTTGAAGACTTCCATCTTCCATATATGCCATTACAAATATATATTCTTTTGTAATTGGATCTTGTGTTAATCCATAAATATGAATTATAGCTACTTTATTATGAAAGTTTGCATAATTTTTGAGCTAAAATAACAAATAAAATATTTAATTACAACAATAATAATGATAATATCTAAAAAATCAGAAAATAAATAGAAAAATAAAATAATCTACCTCATTAAAAAATTCATCAGAAATATTCTGTGAATTATGTAGTTTTTTTAATGCCACAGTCCTATCTTTGTTAGTTCTTTTATTTCTATTAGTATATTTCATACCATTTAACCAAGTAGCTTTGGATATAGTTGCAAAACCACCTTCACCAATTTTTTCAATATTTGTTAAATCATTATAAGGAATCCATTGAAGATAATCATAATTAGCATACTCAGTTGCTTTAAGTTGTGTGCTTTTAATCAATTCATCTAATGTTTCATTGCCACTAGTCCATCCTTCAGTTAATAGCTTTGGATCACATGATTGACACCATGAATAATCAGTATTATATCTATTGCAGGTTGGACATTCCCCATATTTTTTACCCCCTTTCTTTGAATATTCATCATTTTTGTCAGTAGAAGTATCGACATGATGTTTATTTTCATCCAAAGTGTTTTCCATCGTGGTATAATTTGTCAAAAAAAATTTTTTTTTCAGCCACAAATATGTATCACAAAATATATTTAAATTTTACCTTGACACCCTAAAGTCGTAAACTGTAATAAATATTGCGAGCGTGCGATCTGAATTATTGGAGTCGCAATTCTGGCAAACTAATTAAATCACTATAGGACTTTTATTCGAGTAAGGGTTTATTCAAATTATTTGTTTTACTTGTTATGAATTTGAGTATTTGAATTACATCATGAAGTTTATTCGAATAAAATGAATAACGAACAATTCGATAATTTGATAATTCAAATAAGAAGAATAAACGAATAAACAAATAAACAAATAAAATAAAAAATTCAAACGATAATTTAAATAAAGCAAATAAACGAATAATTCGAATAATTCGAATAATTTGAATAAAATGAATAAAACGAATAAACGAATAGTCGAATAATTTGAAATAATTTGAATATTTAAAACAAAGCGAATAGTTCGAATAAAGCGAATAATTTGAACAAAACGAATAGTTTGAATAAAGAATGACAATAATTTGAATAATAAAACGAATAAATGAAATAAAATGAATAATTCAGGCAAAACAAATATTTGAATAAATGAATGACAACAATTCGAATAATGAATGATAAAAATTCGAATAATAAACGAATAATAAACGAATGATTTGGATAATTCAAATAAACAATTAGAATAAACGAATGATAACAATTTCAATAAACGAATGACAATAATTCGAATAATAAACGAATGATTTGAATAATTCAAACAAAAATTTGTATTACGAATAAAAACTTTACTCTATTGCAGAGTCACTAAATCTGGCACAATAATGTTCAAACTAAACTAAAATCACCATATACAATTACACTACTTGAGGCGTCCCTAAAATCAATAGCAAAACTAATAAAAGGGTTCCTAATACTAACTAATAATTAAATGTTGGTCAATCCATTAATCATCAGAAAGGGTTATGATAGTACTATAAAACAATATATTTTTATTTTGTGTCATTGAACAAATGTCAAAGAACATATATATATATATTTTTTTTTACGAATATCGAAAAAAAGGGATTACCCTGGAGGAAGTAGAGATGAGTGGGATTTTTCATATATTAATATAAAAGAAAGTTTTTTACGTTCGTGTAACTTGAATAAAATAATAGAAGCAAGTGTCAAAATCTGTAATTTTTGTAATATGTAATTCTGCAAACACTGCATAATATATATAATAAACAAAATTTGATTTCCGACCACAAGTGTTTTATTTGTTAAACAAAAAAGAATTAATTTGTTTATTATTAAATGTTCGAATTATTTGTAAAAAATAAATAATAATAATAATAATAATAATCAATGTGTCGGCAAATCGTATTTTCTAACACGTGATCTGTCCTTACAATATGTAATACTAATAATAATAATACTAATATTGAATTTTACATAGAATTATAGAATATTTTTGAGAACTTTTTTCCGTATTAGTATTAGTAATACTTTCCATATGGCTTCCATACATGGAAAGTGGATTTTAATACGGAAAACACAATAATAGTAATAGTAATAGTAATAGGAGAATCTACTCCGTGCCATTTCCGTATTGGTATGTTTAAGTACGAGAGAAGTCACACGATAATAATAATAATAATAAATAATAATATATAGGATGGGAAGCATAAGAAAATTAAAACCGCGTTCAACGAAATTTATATGTGAAGCAAAAATTTTAAAAACTCATTATACGAATTTGAAAAAAGATTCGCCGAAACAAAAAATTTTCATTTGATTGATTTATTTATATATTAAATGTTTGGAGCCTTAATTATTCCCGAGTCATTTCTACATCAGGAATTCTTTCATTGAGTACGATTGTATTTTGCCGTGTATTAGTAACTTCGGAGATGAGCAAGTATTCGAATTGAAATAAGAATTTTGAATTTCTCAATTCTTTTAAGGTTAACAATAGGATTTATATATTTACTGTAAATAAATAAACATTGATTTTATTAAAATAATTCCAAGAACTATTAAACATGGTACAAAGAACATCAGGTGTGAGGAATTTATAGAATGTTCACATTCGACTGGGATATCAAATTGAACTAAAAGAACTTTGTACATCTAACATATTCTATTTCTCATGACTAATGTTGGAATTTGCTGTTTGTGGGTGGTGGTGACAAGAGAAGAAATTTTTTTACCATCTTTTATAATTATTTAGACGGGTCAATA